TTCATTTGGTTGAGAGTGTGAATGAAGATGTGCTTAAGGGAATCGGTTCTGGCTTCGCGCCACCTGTGTTGAGAAACCCGTTGGCCCGATTTTTATGGAATAGTCAATCTGCGCAGGTATAACTGTGAGCGCTCAGCCTTGACGCAGGATCATTTCCCAGGTGACCGAGGAAGCGTTGTACCTGCATGGCACAATTGTCCCCGGAGCGGCCGACTGATAGTAACAATCAGTTCCTTTGTTCTGGGACACGTCCTACTTCCGCCTGCGCGCAGCCAGAGTGTGCACACACTCCAGTAGGAAGGTGTAGTAAAAGAGTAAGGAAGGTGACCTTGGTGCAAATGTTTCCCCCTCTTTTCCCTCTGGAACAGGTTCCCGCACATTTCCATCCGGATCGTCCCAAACTTTTTCCCAAGGCAACTGGACTTTATTATTATTATTATTATTATTATTATTGTCCTTGAAGGCGTTTCGCTTCTCTTCCAAGAAGCTTCTTCAGTTCTGAGCTGAACCGATGAAGCTTCTTAGGTGGGAAGCAAAACGTCTTCAAGGAAAAAAATAATAATAAAGTCCAGTTGCCTTTGGGACAACCATGGATGACTGAGAATCTCCGTAGACACTTCCGCCTGGAGAATCTTCGTTTTCTACAAACTTGTGAAGGTGCCCTCGCAGAAACACCTTGCTCATTCTCCTCCTCCTGTCTCTTTTCCAGAAATTGTCGATGGCAACGCCAAGATGACCTTGGGTATGATCTGGACTATCATTCTTCGGTTTGCCATCCAGGATATTTCAGTGGAAGGTAAGAGGCCGATCTGTGCCAGAGAGAAAGAGAGATTGTTTAGGCCAGTGATGGTGAACCTTTTCGGCACCAAGCACCCAAACCGAAACACGCTCGCATCCCGGAGCACTGTCAACCCAAAGACCAGTTGGCCGGCATGCGCATGCGTACCAGCCAGCTGATCTTTGCGCACGCTGGACCCGCCGGAAACCCAAAGACCAGCTGGCCGGTGTGCATGCACATGGCAGCCAGCTGGTCTTTGGGTTTTACGGAGCACACATGCTCACCTGGTCTTTGGGTTTCCAGTGTGCTGGAAACCAGAAGAGCAGCCGGCGATGGTGTGTGTGTGTGCGCCCACAGAGACGGATCTGTGCAGGGGTGGGATTCTAACGGTTCGGACCGGTTCTATAGAACCGGTTGTTATGATTCTGCAGAGTTTGGAGAACCGGAAAATCGTGCCCTTGGCTGTCCCCTCCTCTCTGCCCACCCTGCCCCTCCCCTCCCCTCCCTGACCAGTCAGTTCTGACTGCATTCTCCCCCGTCCAGTCACTCCTTAGGGCAGAGGTGGGCAACTATGGCCCCTTCATGACTTGTGGACTTCAACTCCCAAAATTCCTGAGCTAGCATGGCTTGCTCAGGAATTCTGGGAGTTGAAGTCCATAATTCATAAAAGGGCCATAGTTGCCCACCCCTGCCTTAGGGTCTTTCTCCCCCCCACCTTCTTGACGATCAGCTGTGCCGTGATCCCCCTCGCTGTCTTACTGCTTCACCCAGGAGGGTTCCCTGAGGCCCAGGAGGCACAGAGGGGAGACAGCCCCTTCCTGCTGTGTCCCCCCCACTCCATTTTTTGCCTTCCTGGGCCCCAGGGAAGCCTTCTCGGAGCAAACAGCGCCCCCTCACCCCCCGGCAGGCGTCCCTGAGGCCCAAGAGGCAAAAAAAAAACCCGAGGAGGGGTGTTGCTTCAAAAAGAGAGAAGCACCCACGCCCACCCAGTCACAGGGCCACACCCACCTAGCCACGCCTGCAGAACTGGTTGTTAAAAAATTTGAATCCCGCCCCTGGCTGTATGTGCCACCTCTGTCACGCATGCCCTCGGCTCGCCGTCACGGGTTTAGGCCCTTTTCTCTTGCCCGCCCCAAGTCAGCAACAGCTTTCTGTTTATCCCAGTGTTTATCGCAACTCGGCCATTTTTTTGTGGACTTCCAACTCCCAGAATTCCCCAGCCAGAATGCTGGTGAACTTCCAAGATGGGTGGATTTCAGCTCCCAGAATTCACTTATGAACGTTAAGATTGGCAGGCTTCACAGCTGCCAGAATTCCTGGCTGGGGAATTCTGGGAGTTGAAGTCCACCCCTCTTGAGGTTGCCGTGTTTAGAAGAGCATTGATTTAACCCACCTTTTTCCTGGCTCGACCCCCTTCCAGAGTGGTCAGGCTGGCTGAGATTGATGGGTAGGGTAGTCCCCACACACGTGGAGACCACCTGATGGAAGGAAAACCTTTGCTGTGTGTGAGAAGATGATGTTCTGACCACGGCTTCCTGAGTCCATAATTAAGCACATGCTTAGTTAAAACAACTCTTGTTTTATTTCAACGCTGGGAATTATGTTCATTCCCAGCCTGTAATGAGTCCCAAACAGTCCCTCGAGGTAAGCACCCACCTTTCTCTCCTTTGAATGGCTGCCAACAACTAAAGTGCCAAATGAACTGTAAAAAGCCAACCAAACTACAAAGTCCACACAGAGCTTCAAGGATTAATCCGAACAGAGTGAATGACTTTGCTTCCTGCAAAGGTTTCTTCACCTTTGCCTGTCCTTTATACCTTAGGGGAGGGGCAATCACCTCCCAGCCTTACTCCTGAGTCGCCCCTTTTGTCTCAGCTGCTCTTCTGGCAGCTCTGCACACACGCGCACTGGAAACAGGCTCCTCTTGTTCCTCGGCCTCACTGCTGCCAGGCTCCGAAGGCTCCGGAGTCAGCACCCCACTCCCAGATGGTCCTGGCCCCACCTCTGCATCGGATGCAGGACCCTCGTCCGTGTCCTCCCCAGACTCCTGAACCGGCCCATGTTCCTCCCCACCGTCCGATTCCACTGCAGTCTGGCGAACGACAACAGAAGAGATTTAAAAACCAAGGGCGATCCAGGATGCTGCTCACGCCTTAAAAGAGTGGCTTTTTTGTGCTTTTAGCTTCTCGCCAGATCGGTCCCCATAAATCTTTCAGGGCCCAGATGGCTCGGGCTCAGCTGCAGTAACCGGGATTTATGTCGCTGTCCTGCAAACTTCAGTGGGCTAACTATGACTGCTTAGATGAGGGTTGCAAGAAAAGTTGTAAAATGAGACTTGGTCCTGTGACGACCCACTGAAAGGCCATCGCTGCAGGCTCCGTTACAGTCATAACTGGAGGACATACCTTATCAAGGGAGACCGAGGGGAGCAAGTGGCCAGTTTTAAGTTTCTGGGTGTTACCCTAAAAGAGGACCTGACCTGGGGGGCTCACATTGCAGCCCTGGTCAAAAGGGCCCAGCAGAGATTAGACTACCTGAGACTTCTCAGAAAACAACAACTGAATGGAAAACTGCTGGTGACCTTCTACTGCTGCACCATAGAGAGTATCTTAACTCACTGCACCTGTGTCTGGTTTGCCAATTGCTCAGTGGCAGATAGGAAAGCGCTCCAGAGGGTGAAGGTCATTGCCCAGAGGATCATTGGTTGCCCTCTCCCCTCTTTGGAAGAGCTTTATAGCTCCCGCTCCCTTAAGAAAGTTCAAAACATTCTCAAAGATCCATCTCATCCTGGGCTCCCCTTTTTTTTTTTGAACTATTACCACCTGGCAGACGGTACAGGACAATAATAAAAACAAGGACAAACAGGTTGAAAAACAGCTTCTAACTCAGGGCAGTAGCTCTGTTGAATTCTACTGTATAGTACACCGAAGATGGTGTTTAATTTCGTTGTACGATGTGCAATGACACTAAACTAAACTAAACTAAATTAAACTAAATGTATTGTACGCTTTGTTGAATCTGGAGCAAGGAAGGGAGCAGGAAGCTGGAAGGATGGAGCTTAATAAACAAGATCCTTTCCTTCCCTCTCGGTTTTTCCATCTGTTCTGCAAATGTCTCTCTTTTTTTTCCCCTCTTCCAATTCCTTGAATCTTTTTCTTCCTTTTAAGTAGCTAGTTGCCTTCTGCAGCCAGCTGTTGATTCGAATGCTGGCTTGATTTGGCTTTCATCCTGCAAAATACCTCCAAAGGCTGCCTCTCTTCCCCCCTCCCCTTCCCAACCTGGTTTCTTTTTCTTTCTTTTCTTTTTTGGCACCTGCCTTACATGGGATCTGTTTTATTTCTCTGGTTTCACCTTGTGTGGGGATCGGGGTGGAATACAAATAGCCGGGAAGAGAAATGAAATATCCTTCTCTCGGCGCAAAGAATGCGTGTATAAAGATGTCGTTCTTTGTGGAAGGAAGGAGGTCCCAGTGGGCTTTGATTTATTTGGATTTAGGTTTATAGATTTGGCTCCCATCTCAAGTGTTTTTTTCAACTTTGGCTATTTTAAGATGTGTGGACTTGAGCAAAGCTGGCTGGGGAATTCTGGGAGTTGAAGTCCACGTATCTTAACATTTGCCAAGGTTGAAAAACAGCGTTCAATCCTTTTCTGCCCGGACTTAGAGTAGTGCGATGTTGTGAACTCGCGCTTGGCGACAACACAACCTGAGCAACACAATTGGCTCCTTTTTCTCTCTCTGTGTAGAGACTTCAGCTAAAGAAGGACTCTTACTGTGGTGCCAAAGGAAGACTGCTCCTTACAAGAACGTCAACGTGCAAAATTTCCACATCAGGTAACTTTTCAACACAATTCTTCTTCTTTTTCCTTCTTTTTCCTTCTTTTTCCTTCTTTTTTCTTCTTCTTCTTCTTCTTCTTCTTCTTCTTCTTCTTCTTCTTCTTCTTCTTCTTCTTCTTCTTCCTCTTCCTCTTCCTCTTCCTCTTCCTCTTCCTCTTCCTCTTCCTTTTCTTCCTCCTCTTTTCCTCCTTCCTCCTCTTCTTTTCCCTCTTCTCCTTCTCCCTTATATCTTCCTTCTCCTTCTTCCTTTTTCCTCCCCTTCCCTCCTTCCTCCTCTTCTCTTTTTTCCCCTCCTCTTTTCCTTCTTCCTTCTATCTTTCTTCTTCCTCTTTCCTCCTTCCTTCTCTTTTTCCCTCCTCTTCTTCTTCCTTACATCTTTCTTCGCTTGCCTTTTCCACTTTGAAACCCAGAAGCAGCCGTCTCATATCCTCAGAATCGGGCCTCTTTAGAAAGTCTGCAAAACATTGACTTCTTGGCTTACTACTCCGCCATGAAAGATTCTGCCAGCCGGGAAGCCAAGTTTTTGAAGCTTTCTGCTGGGACCTGAGCTCAGGATCTGGAGAATCCAAGGAACTTTGCGAACGGCGAAATTTCCTCTTTTTTTTTTTTTTTTCACAAAAAGGCTTTTGTGTCGACAGCTGGCTGTGCAGCGAGGTTATTCTGTTGGGCGGGTTGATGGTTGGCCAATCCAATGAAGCATCCGGTAGGGAAAAAGACCCCGAGGCGTTGATCCTTCCACTGCACAGCAAGGTTTAAGGGGTGATAGTGCAGCCTTTCACCCCCACCCCCTCGACTTAATTGGCCCTGGTCGGGGATGGGCATTGGCTGTTCTTGGCCCGATTTCAAAACTCGTGTAAGGGAACAATTTGGACTTTTGGTAAGAGCTATCTGCCCTTCCCTGAAGCTTGGGAAAAAGAGAATCATCTCAGAACAGAGCAGGAAAAGAAAAGAAGGAAGGGAAAGGAACAAGGGGGAAGGAAGGAAGGAAGGAAGGAAGGAAGGAAGGAAGGAAGGAAGGAAGGAAAGAAGGAAGGAAAGAGGGAGGGAGGAAAAAGAGGGAATGAGAAAGGCAGGGAGGGAGGAAAGAAGGAAAAAGAAAAGGGAACAAGGAAGGAAAAAAGAGAAGGGAAGCGGGAGGGAAGGAAGGAAAGTGTCAGGATTCTCTAAAAGACCATAGAATTATTTTATGAGTTGACGGAAGGAAGGAAGAAAAGAGGGAGGGAGGGAGGAAGGAAAAAGGGAATGAGAAAGGCAAGGAAGAAGGGAAAGAGGGAGGGAGGGAGGAAGGAAAAAGAAGGGAATGAGGAAGGAAGGAAAAAAGGAGAGAAGGAAAGCGGGAGGGAAGGAAGGAAAAAGAAAAGGGAAGGAGGGAGGAAGGAAGGAAGGAAGGAAATGTCAGAATACATCCATGATCACTGATTCCTCAACCTCATTAAGTCCACCTATCTTTGCTCATCCTCATCCTCTCCATAGCTTACTCCTGAGTAGATGCTACACTCAAGAGCCACCCCCACAAAAATGACTGCCCAACCTCTGGAATAATTCCTGTTATATTTTCTCTTTTCATGATCTTCTGGATAATTCAAAATTTATATACTGCCCAGAGTTGCTCCCAACAGTGAGAGAGATGGTCTATAAATCTCACAACATAAATTCCCAAAGCTGCTGCCATTTCTTCTTCTTATGGGACCTGTAAGCTACGATGTTGGAGCGTTCAGAAGTGTTCCACACACTTGAACCGAACATGGGTCTGAAAAGGCACCGCCAGATGCCTTCCGATGTTGATCTCCTTCCATAACTCAGCACAGGTTGTCTCAACAGGACACTCATTTTGCGATACCGTTCTTCTAAAGCAGGGGTCCCCAAACTTGGGTTGACTTCAACTTCCAGAATTCTCCTGCCAGCCATGTTGGTGGGGGAATTATGGGAGTTGAAGTTCCACCTTAATCTTCAAGCTGATTTATATCATCCAGAACAGAGGTCCCCAAACTTGGCAGCTTTAAGACTTGTGGACTTCAACTTCCAGAATTCTCCTGCCGGCCATGTTGGTGGGGGAATTATGGGAGTTGAAGTTCCACCTTGATCTTCAAGCTGATTTATATCATCCAGAACAGAGGTCTCCAAACTTGGCAACTTTAAGATTTGTGGACTTCAACTCCCAGTATTCCCCCCACCATTATGGCCGGCAGGGGAATTTTGGAAGTTGAAGTTCCACCTAGTTCTTCAAGCTGATTTATATCATCCAGAGCAGAGCAAAGATTGCAGAGGAAGGGATTACAAGAGAGTAAGCTATGCTGGCTGGAGAATTCTGGGAGTTGAAGTCCACAAGTCTTAAAAAGTTGCCAAGTTTGGAGGCATCTGTTCTAAAGACACCGTTGGCCTTCTCAAGAGACTTGACCTGCTCTTATTTTTTTTTTCCAGTTGGAAAGACGGTCTTGCTTTTAACGCCTTGATCCACAGACACCGACCAGAACTCATTGAATATGACAAGCTCAGAAAGGTATTTGGGCGGGTTTGACATTATAGCCTTTTTACTTCTTGGTTTTGAAATATTCTCCACCTTACCCCGAGTGAACTCACTTTTTCCCCCTGCAATTCCAGATGTAGTGGGTTGAGTGAGGCCTGGGGATCAAATCCCAATTCTGCAATAATAATAACAACAACAACAACAACAACAACCTGGGTTACTTTAGGCCAGTGTTCCTCAACTTTGACCATTTTAAGATGGCTGGACTTCCAACTCCTAGAATTCTTTATCCAGCTTTGTCTTTCCATGGAAAGACAGAAGTAGTGTTAGTCAACCTTGGCCACTGTAAGATGGGTGGACTTCAACTCCCAGAGTCCCCTAGCCAGCTTTTGCTTTGCTTTGCTTTGTTTCGCTGGCTGGGCAATTCTGGGAGTTGAAGTCCACCCCTCTTAAAGCGGCCAAGGTTGAGAAACACTGCTCTAGGCTAAGTCATCATCTCCAGCCTGAGCTTCTCGACCAAGAAAAAGGAATTTGACCTTGATCGATCACAAGATCAAGATTTAGTCCGTGATTGTGGACTAAATCCAGACCAAATCATGGGCGCCAGATCCGAAACTTCATCAAGTTGGTTCTCATGTGGAACGGGGTCCCCCATATGCATTAAAATGATAGAGAATCCATAATTTGTGGGTGGTCAATTTTTAGAACAGGACCTCAAAGATGCTTCGGTGCATTTTTTCCCACGGGATTATTTTGTATTTGGAAGCTGTAGGAAAGCCAAGACGTTTGTAGGGCTGGCAATTGTGAGAAGAGGGGGAGATGCATCTTTAGGACAGTGCCACCACGTTTTAAATCCTCTCTGGTGATTTCCCTTTCCCGTAGGACGATCCAGTCACGAATCTGAACAACGCTTTTGAGGTCGCGGAGAAATACCTTGATATTCCCAAGATGTTAGATGCAGAAGGTAAGCCAGAGGTCGAGGCCGTAATATATCTTGGGGTCCCGTTTTGTTCCACAAATCTACGAATCCACAAGGCAGAGGTTACAATAGCATTTGAACGAAGCCAGCTGGGTAAACCTGGTGCTGAATAGTACTTATATACCACTTCATGGTGCTTCACAGCCCTCTTTAAGCGGTTTACAAAATCAGCATCAAACTTGACAGCTTTAAGACTTGTGGACTTCAATTCCCAGAATTCCTCCTCCAGTCATGTTAGCTCGGGAATTCTGGGAGTTGAAGTCCACAAGTCTTAAACTTGCCAAGTTGGAAGACTCTTGACTTACGACCACAACTTTTGTTGTTGAGTGTTCTGACCCAAGCCTCGTTCAAATCTAATAAATACAAAATAGATATATAAAAGCAAAACTTTTTAATGCATCTCTGTGAATTCTGTTCATTCGCAGCAAAGAATCATTAAAACTAATTGTCCCAGATAAGAGCGAGCCCTTTCAAGGTTGTGAAAGGCTGCCAAGAACACAAGATTAATTGCAGATAAATATCCCAAGCCAGAAGTTTCCAAAAACAAACCCGGAGTAAGCAGGCCTTCAACGAGGACTCTGAGCATAAAGAACTTCCTTGCTTCCTGCAAAGAAGCCAACCCCAAAGGCTGGCTTTTATCCCTTGGGAAGGGACCATCACTTTCCAGCCTTACTCCTGGAAAGCACGCGCACTGGGAACAGGCTCCCCGGGGTCCTCTGCGTCACTGCTGCCAGACCCCACAACCTCCGAAGGCAGCACCCCACTCTCCCAATGGCCCTGGCCCCATCCCTGCATCACATGCAGGCCCCTTGTCCGAGTCCTCACTGTCAGAGACCTCAGCCGTCTGCACCTGCTTCCGGCAAACCACAACATTGAGTGAGACATTTGTTAAACAAATTTTGCCCTGTTTTACAACTTTTCTTACCATGGTTGTTAAGTGAAACATATGGCCGTTCAGCAAGTCAGGTTCCCCTCCCCCCCACACACACTCAATTTGACCATCTGGGAAGGTCACACTTGGCAATCATATGATCCCACCATAAATACATGCTGGTCGCTAAATGCCTAAATTTAGATCATCTGATGGGGATCCTGCTACAGTCGTAAAAATGGAAGGACTCAGCCCTAACTCGGTTTTTTTTTCAACGCCATTGTAATTAATGGTTGTAAGTTATCTGTCTCTCAACAAAACACAGTTCTCATATTTCTATGGAATCTGTTTCATGACCTGAGCTAAATGTACTGGCCATCAGTCTTGCAAAGCCGCCTGCTGCTTGGATGTCCAGAATATTTTTTTTTTTAGAAACAGCTATTTTAAAAACAGGTTGAAGGACTTCAGTGGAATTCGGAAACAATTCCTTTAAGGCTTACAAATATACAGATTTGCAATTATCTGTTTGAGGTACATGAGTAGGAAGAATACGACTTGTAAACAAGTAATTTCCGAATAATGCTTCGGAGTCATTTTTAATTTTTTCTTCTTTATATCCACAATCGCGTCCTCTCTCTTTTTACTCAATGATTTGTATCGAATTTCATAGCAACAACAACAATAATAGAAATGTAAATGCCAAAAAAAAAATGTTAATCAAATTTGTATGGCCACCTATCAGGTTCCAAGCAACCTGCTCCAGCTGTGAATAGTCAAAGTCCGTAACTTTATTGCCTCCCACCTATGTTACAAGAATCTCCCCATGTTGCTTGGGGTTTCATGGATAAGGTTTCATGGATCTTGGTGGGGGAAGTCAAGGTTTACGCTTTTTTGCAGCTGTGCCAACAACTCCAAGCTAGGTCCCTGCTTGACCCTTCCCTCTGGCCTAGCTGGCAGTTTCCCAGCATCGCCCGTGTCACGGAAAGGGATCTTGCAGAAGATTATAGCGCAACTCTGGAATTCCTGCTGTGATAGAAGAATGCAAGGAATTGCCGTTATATACAAGCTTTGTGGTCTTCCAGCAGGCATTTTGAGTTATGGGCAGGAAATGCGATACAAATCTTGGATAAGCATCCCAGCTTGTACGTTTGGACAGGCAGCTAATCTCCCATGTCAAGTCCTTCTGGATTTTTAGCCATTAACTTCTTTTTCCAAGCTGGATTGTTGCCAATGTATGAGAACTGGAGATGTTTGACTGCCAATGACATTAGTTTGGGAGAGGAGTTGTTTCTGGTGTGTTTAATACTTCTTGTTCGCTTTTCAGACATCGTCAACACGGCCCGTCCTGATGAGAAGGCTATTATGACCTATGTCTCCAGCTTCTACCATGCCTTCTCTGGGGCGCAGAAGGTACCAGAGACGGACGGCGGGTTGTTTTTTTTCACCATTAACCGCTTCTCTTCTTCCCAGCATCCTGGCTTCCTTTGACTTCCCTTGGAGAGGGCCGCCGCTTGGAGCCACCTGGGAACCCAGACCTCAGCTAGTTCAGGACAAGCTTTAGAAAGGCCCAGTGCAGAATGTCTATGGAGGTTCTCCTTCCTCCTGGTCATGGTTGGGTGTCCCAAATGTGCTTTTTTTTTTTTCTTCTTCAAAGAGGCAAAACTGGACTTTTTTGTTTGTCCCTGAAGACATTTCACTTCTCATCCAAGAAGCTTCTTCAGCTCGGACTGGATGGTGGGGATTTATGCTCCTTGCAGACAGCCGGTCATTTGCGTCCTTGTAGAGGGTCGTTGAGGCCATTTGGAGATTTATGTGTGTCCTCAGGGTCACCTGAGGATGCAAATGGTCCCTATAGCCTGCAATTTTCCTGGAAATCCGTTCCTACTCCCACACCATTCAAAGGGTGTTTATCCCAAATTGCATAGCTAGAAGTCTGTAAAGATTCTCAGTCCTCCAGGTCGTGGTTGTCCCAAAGGTGCTATTTTCAAAAAGCAGCTGGACTTTCTGGTTTTTTTCTTTGAAGGCGTTTCGCTTCTCGTCCAAGAAGCTTCTTCGGATGGTGAGGAAGGCTCCACACCCATTTGCATGAATCGGGTGAGCCTGAGAGCCCAGATTAACCTCCAAGGGGCCTCAACGATTCTCTAAAAAGGATGCAAATGACCACCTTTCTGCAAGGAGCATAAATCCTTCTGTTCCCCACCATCCTGTCAGAGCTGAGGAAGCTTCTTGGATGAGAAGCAAAACGTCTTCAGAGAAAAACAAGAAAGTCCAGTTTTGCCTCTTTGGAAAAAAAAAAACCAACTTTGGGACACCCAATGCAGGAAAAAAAATAAGGACCGCTTTTCCAAAACTCACCCTAAGTCCCTTTGGGGGAGAGGCTGGAAAATGAGACTTGACCTTGTCATAGATGGAGGCTACCTGAGGAGAAACCTTGAAGGGCTTTGCGACAGTAAGACCAGGACTCTCCAACCGACCAAACTCCAAAACTCATCGAAATTCATTTCCCCCCTACTTCCCCAAAGAAGTCAATAAGAACATGAGTTGATGAAGGCCACGGTCACGAGTTCCCACTAAGGTGGTAGCCTCACTTAGCACATGTGGACTTCAAGTCTCAGAACATGAAGTGAGGTCATCTCGTGGGCCAGAGAGTTGAAGGGTCTGTTTCAGGGGTCAAGGATGAAATTGTGTTCCTTTTGAGCAGAGGTTTCCAAACGTGGCAACTTTTAACACTTGTGGACTTCAACTCCCAGAATTCTTCCTTCAGTCGTGTTAGCTTGGGAATTCTGGGAGTTGAAGCCCACAAGTCTTAAAGTTGCCCCTGCTTTGGAGAGATTCCCTGGGGTCCTCTGGCCAGACCTGGGTATTTTAGGGCCTCCAGGCCACATTGGCTGTCTCTATCTGGCCCATGTCAGGGCTCTGGTAGTTCCCCCCCCATTTAAATTCTGAGTCTCGAGCCAAACTTCCAAAACTTCAAAAGGATTTATTGGGAGTTTAACATGCTGGCACTGCCTGAGTGTAAGCGACTCTGAGACACGTAATTCATTGTCACCCTTGACCCTGGTTTTTCCCTCCACCCCCCTGGGTGTATCCTAATTCATAGTCTCCAATGGGACACCCCCATAGCCCAGAATCATCAATAAGACTCTCCAGTTAGAATCTTGCATGGCAGAAACTTCGGTCCCCTCGAAACTATCTTTGAAAACATTTACGGAATGCAGTTACGGTTTTTGCAAGCTGCTCCACTGCTCCGCTCTCCCTTCCTGCTGGCAACTCTAAAAAGACCAGAGCAATATTTTAAGAGTTGACAGCCTGTTTGAACTGCTTTTATTTTGAGGGTGACTGCTATTCCCCCCCCCCCCCAAGTTACCTCTGTCCGCAGCCCTCTTGGTTCGGCCCAAGTCTCAGTCATGGGAAAATTGATTGCCCACCCCTCCTCCGGTCTAAACCAAAGATTTGGAATGGCTAACTTCTGTTCCAGCTGAGATCTGGTTCCCCCCAGGGAGCGCAACCTTTCTTCCATCCTGCCTCTTGGTCTTCTGCATGTCGGGGGAGACCTGGAGGGTTTTCCTGCCAGGCCCTTGACTTCCGCTTCTCTTTTTCTCTCTCTTTCCTCGTGCGCAGATATTGTAGGCACGCTCAGGCCCGACGAGAAGGCCATCATGACTTACGTCTCCTGCTTCTATCATGCTTTCTCAGGGGCTCAGAAGGTGAGCTGGGGGGGGGGGGGGGGGGGGGGGGCGGGGCTGGGGTCTGCTTTGGGGCTGTGGCTGTTGGCTTGGGGAGATCTCGGTTCTGGGCAGAGCGCTGGCACTAACTGGTTCTCTGCTCGGCCTTCCGGAGCATGGCTGTAGGCATGGAAATAGTAAATCGTAACTAGTTAAAAAAAAACGAAGACGCGTTGGCTAAGACGCTGAGCTTGTCGATCAGAAAGTTCGGCGGTTCGAACCCCCAGCGCCGCGTCACGGAACGAGCTCCCGTTCCTTGTCCCAGCAGCTTCTGCCAACCTAGCAGTTCGAAAGCATGTAAACAAAAAATACAAGTCGAAAAATAGGGACCCCTTTGGTGGGAAGATCACAGCATTCTGTGCGGCTTCGGGCGTTTAGTCAGGTGTAGAATATCTAAGAGTTTCCCTACTTCGACAACCTGAAGGTGTGGACTTCCAACTCCTGCCGATGGGGGAATTCTGGGAGTTGAAGTCCGCCTGTTAACTCCTGTCCATCTTCTCCCTCCTTTTTGAAGCTGAATTGAAACTGGAGGCAGGTTGACTTTTGAAAGGCACTTTTTTTCAAACCTCCCTTGAAGGAGAGGTGTAAGAAAACACCGCAAGGACAATGGCTGTGGAGCTGCCCCCCCCCCCCCAAAAGCTTCCTCTCATCTGGAAACTTCTTTCTGGCTTTGATTATGTCTTGCTTGTTCTTCCAGATGAGAGAAAGAGAGAGAGAGACATAGAGAGACAAAGACAGAGAGAGAGAGAGAGACAGAGAGAGAGAGAGAGAGAGACATAGAGAGACAAAGACAGAGAGAGACCGAGAGAGAGACAGAGAGAGACAGAGAGAGAGAGAGACATAAAAAGACAAAGACAGAGAGAGACCGAGAGAGAGAGAGAGAGAGAGACAGAGAGAGAGACACACACAGAGAGAGAGAGAGACATAGACAAAGACAGCGAGAGAGAGACAGAGAGAGAGACACACACAGAGAGAGAGAGAGACAGAGACACACAGAGAGAGACAGAGCGAGAGAGAGAGACAGAGAGAGAGAGAGAAAGAGAGACAGAGATATACAGACCCCCCTCCGAGG